AACTAATAAAGTGTGTGTTTTAAGTAAAATAATTATTGCTTAGTATAAAATGAATATATTTGCCAAATTTGATCAAAATATATCCATAGACAAGCAAACTACAACATTTTACAATATTCTCCATAAGAATAACATGGGAATTTTAAATTTACCATTTTTTTTTCTCCGTAACCAATAACCGTACAAAAACACTTTGATATACTGAATTGTTTGTTTTTTAAAGTTTTTTAAGAAGGTTTAGAGAAAAATTGGGAAATTTTGTGTTTTGAGGGTCAAAAGTGAGAAAACCCAATTTTTACCCCATAAAACCCCCCCATAAAACACTGTTCCCATGGTCCGATCATGCTGGATCACGAACTCATTTAAGTTTATCCCGCCTTACACCTTCAAACCAAATTTCATCAAAATCAGATAAAAATTACTCAAGTTATCATGTTCACGGACACATATATATACACATTCATAAAAATTTGAACGAATGGTGTTTTTTGGCCTCTGGAGACACCAAAATGAAAAAGTAAATAGGTCCCGGGCCTATGTCTTACCATGAGACCTACAGTAATAGCTACTTCCCTATAGGGAAATTCACTAAAAAGTAAAAACCCTTATCGACAGTTGATAATAGTTGTTAGTGCAACAACACGCGCCGGGTAATTGCTAGTGCTAACCCTGATACTCTCGACCAACTGATACTCTCGTCCAATCGATACTCTCGTCCAACCAAAACTCTCGTCCAACCAAAACTCTCGTCCAACTGAAACTCTCGTCCAACTGATACTCTCGTCCAACTGATACTCTCGTCCAACCAAAACTCTCGTCCAACCGAAACTCTCGTCCAATTGATTATTGATTACTCTCGACCAACTGATACTCTCGTCCAACCAAAACTCTCGTCCAACCAAAACTCTCGTCCAACCGAAACTCTCGTCCAACTAATACTCTCGTCCAACCAAAACTCTCGTCCAACTGAAACTCTCGTCCAACTGATACTCTCGTCCAACTGATACTCTCCAACTGATACGCGCTCCACCTGATAACCCTGATTGACCTCATGTATACGTCGGCCAACCCTGCCTGGGCCTCTCGTACCTCTTTCATTCGTACTTCCCTCATGTTTTAGAATCGGCACTATACAACTACTGAGGGCCTTTACTGCATTTGTGCAAGATTTGTAAATTATTTCGGCAACTATTGACATTGTGATTGGTATTAATTAAATGTTCTGCAAATTTGGAACGTTGTAGTGACAGTTTTGGTTTAGGGAGATGTTCTTTAAACCTGGTGTTAAAAGAACGTCCCGATTGGCCTATGTATAATTTTGAGCAGTCATTGCACGAAAGTTTGTAAACACCTGTATCATCTAAATCATTATCATTTTGTTTACGGCTGTTTTGGCTCAAATGACGTTGTAGTTTGTTTGACGTTTTACTGGCTAAGGTGATTTTATGTTTCTTTAATTCGTTTTTTAAGGTATAGTGTAGGTTGGCTCCGAATTCGACAGATACAAAGTTGCTGGGTTTATCAATCGGTTTACTAATTTTGTTTTTTTGTTTGTTGATTATCTTATCAATAATACTGCTGTGGTAGCCATTGCTAACAGCTATATGTTTCAGAATGAGGTACTCAGAGTTGTAGTCTTCTGGTGACATTGGGATTCTTAACATTCTGTTAACGAAGCTGTTGTAAGCTGCCATTTTGTGAGCTTGTGGATGATTAGACGAGGCATGAATGGTGTGATCGGTAGTAGTTGGTTTCCTGTATATTTTGAATTTTATGTTGTCATTGTCTTTGGTAAGCGTTAAATCCAGAAAGTTTAAAGATTGGTTTAGTTCGACTTCCAAAGTGAACTTCAAATTAGAAGATATGTTATTTAAATAATTATTCAGAAGCTGCAGTTGTCTAGAGTTGCCTTTAAAAACCAAGAATATGTCGTCCACATATCTTTTGTAAAAAATTATATTATTGCAGAGTTTATTGCTGTCGGAGAAAATGGATTCATTCTCGAAGTGGTTCAAGTAAATTTCCGATAATATGCTGGACAGGGGAGAGCCCATAGCCAAGCCGTCGTTTTGTAAATAGAATTTGTCGTTAAATGAAAAATAGTTTTGTTCTAAGGTGATTCTGAGTAAGGTAATCAATTCATCAATTGCTTCGGGGCTAAGTTCGGAGTTTTTTGACAGGTTGTCTCGAGTAATATCTAATGTCTTCTTGATTGGGACGTTGGTATATAAATTTACAATGTCTAGTGAAGCTAGTAGGTGTCTATTTTGTATTTTTACATTGGAAAGTTGTTCTACGAGGTCTATGCTGTTTTTTAAGCTATGGTTATTCTGTAGTTTTACATGGGTTCTCAGCAGTTTGTCAAGCAATTTGGCAATTTTATAAGTAGGGGCTGACGTGAAGTTGACTAGGGGTCTTATGGGCATTTGCTCTTTATGGATTTTCGGTAAACCTCTAAGTATCGGAGCTGTAGGTTTTATCATTTTTAGATGATTGCAACGGTCGCCGTTCAAAATTGATTTGGTTCTGTTCAATGCATTTTTTAACCTGGTCTGGAATGTGTCTGTCGGGTCTTTAGATACTTCAGTTATGTTATTGTTCTTGATCAAATCTATAACTTTGTCACTGTATACATTTTTGTCCATAATGACAATGCATTGGCCTTTATCTGATTTAGTTATCAAACAATCGTTAGTTACTAACTTTTCTTTAATGCATTTAATGGTGTTTAAATCGTGTTTCAAAACTTTTTTCTTGTGTGTTTTATTAGTTAGTATGGAACGAATCTTTTGATCAATAATGTGTCTAACAAAATTTTTGGAATTTTCATCTTGGATTTTGTCAATCGCTATTTCGGCATTGAGTATTTCTGAAACTAGGTTTTTACTCCAGTTACCCTGTTGGATTGTCATTATGGACAAAAATGTATACAGTGACAAAGTTATAGATTTGATCAAGAACAATAACATAACTGAAGTATCTAAAGACCCGACAGACACATTCCAGACCAGGTTAAAAAATGCATTGAACAGAACCAAATCAATTTTGAACGGCGACCGTTGCAATCATCTAAAAATGATAAAACCTACAGCTCCGATACTTAGAGGTTTACCGAAAATCCATAAAGAGCAAATGCCCATAAGACCCCTAGTCAACTTCACGTCAGCCCCTACTTATAAAATTGCCAAATTGCTTGACAAACTGCTGAGAACCCATGTAAAACTACAGAATAACCATAGCTTAAAAAACAGCATAGACCTCGTAGAACAACTTTCCAATGTAAAAATACAAAATAGACACCTACTAGCTTCACTAGACATTGTAAATTTATATACCAACGTCCCAATCAAGAAGACATTAGATATTACTCGAGACAACCTGTCAAAAAACTCCGAACTTAGCCCCGAAGCAATTGATGAATTGATTACCTTACTCAGAATCACCTTAGAACAAAACTATTTTTCATTTAACGACAAATTCTATTTACAAAACGACGGCTTGGCTATGGGCTCTCCCCTGTCCAGCATATTATCGGAAATTTACTTGAACCACTTCGAGAATGAATCCATTTTCTCCGACAGCAATAAACTCTGCAATAATATAATTTTTTACAAAAGATATGTGGACGACATATTCTTGGTTTTTAAAGGCAACTCTAGACAACTGCAGCTTCTGAATAATTATTTAAATAACATATCTTCTAATTTGAAGTTCACTTTGGAAGTCGAACTAAACCAATCTTTAAACTTTCTGGATTTAACGCTTACCAAAGACAATGACAACATAAAATTCAAAATATACAGGAAACCAACTACTACCGATCACACCATTCATGCCTCGTCTAATCATCCACAAGCTCACAAAATGGCAGCTTACAACAGCTTCGTTAACAGAATGTTAAGAATCCCAATGTCACCAGAAGACTACAACTCTGAGTACCTCATTCTGAAACATATAGCTGTTAGCAATGGCTACCACAGCAGTATTATTGATAAGATAATCAACAAACAAAAAAACAAAATTAGTAAACCGATTGATAAACCCAGCAACTTTGTATCTGTCGAATTCGGAGCCAACCTACACTATACCTTAAAAAACGAATTAAAGAAACATAAAATCACCTTAGCCAGTAAAACGTCAAACAAACTACAACGTCATTTGAGCCAAAACAGCCGTAAACAAAATGATAATGATTTAGATGATACAGGTGTTTACAAACTTTCGTGCAATGACTGCTCAAAATTATACATAGGCCAATCGGGACGTTCTTTTAACACCAGGTTTAAAGAACATCTCCCTAAACCAAAACTGTCACTACAACGTTCCAAATTTGCAGAACATTTAATTAATACCAATCACAATGTCAATAGTTGCCGAAATAATTTACAAATCTTGCACAAATGCAGTAAAGGCCCTCCCTCTCATGAATGTCTTAGAGAGTCTAGAAATTTATAAAGCCAATAAAAAATCCCCTCAAGACGTCTTGAATGAAAAACTGAATTTTGGTTCAAATATTTTATTCGATAGAATTGCAAGCATTGACAACAGAGCTAATACAAGTCTTTATCAGCTGACGTACCCTCTCCCCCAAGGTCAATGTCACCAACTGGACAATGGTTAGTTCTGTCGTGTCCGCCGTGTAACCTGTGTCGGTTTGTCCCGTGTTAAATGTGGCCGGCCTATCAATCGTCTTATATGTTCCGTAACTTGTGTTTTTTAAATAATGAACTTTATGTGTCAACTTGTATTATATATTGATGAAGACTTCCGTCGGATTTTTGACTAGCTTCTACATGATGTTTTGAAAAGGATTTGACAATGGGTCTTTGTACCCGAAACTAGTCATCCATTGACTAAAATAAGACTGAAGACGGACCAAGGTACGTAACCTATTATATATTCGAATATCAGTCTTGGTGGCAAAAATGTTTAATATCTTAGAATAATAAGCCATAGATTTTAGGTTAAATGTTGAGGTAATACATTGACGAATTCCCTACCTGTCTCCGATCGGAATGTTTTTCTCATTTTTCCCTTCGTAGTCACAAGAATCTATAAACGGAACTGCGTTTCTCAAGTCCCAACTGCTGTAGTAGACCCTCTTCTTGTGGGTGTCTACAGTCAGAACATAGACACCTCGGTTGTTGTAGCCCTTCAAGTGCAAAGCAGTCAGGTTGCTTCCGTCTAAGTTCATTCGAAGTAGAGAGTCTTGGCTGACTAGAAAGAGGTATCTGCAGGAAGAAAATTAATTTAATGTGTAGATGAATGCACTGTTGGTCATTTTTTATTACGGATCAATTTAAAAATGTTTAACGATCCAAATGTACACATGATATTATAAGCAAATAGCAAAATTTTTCATTTACAACTATGTGGATCAGCCATGATAAGAATGCAATCAAAATATAATTGTATATAGTTAGTTTTATACGATTAAAGAACGTAGAGTATCTTGCAAAGGTTTTTGAATGTTTTATTGATAGATAAATCTAATCTATTCCTTTTCGTGCTCATTCAAGCATGTTGTCATTATGAAAGACCATGGCATGGATATAAAACAATCAGATGCATGGTGCTTATTATAACCATATTTTGTCAAATTAAATAAATATCTTGATATCAACTAGGGAAGTAGAATTACAATTTAACTAATTTTATGGAGTTCTATTCACTCTTGTACTCTCTGCATAAACGCACAAAATTCCAAAATGCTAGTCTGATGCCAGGAGTAGGATTTCGTTGATGACACATCTTACTCAGAATAATTTTCCTTGTGAGGAAACTTCCCAATATGGACTAACTTCACCTAATCAATTCAATTTTGGTTTGTATTTTTGTGGACCTTCCCATTAATGGAGACATTACACTTACAGTAATCCTATAGTATATCTCGCACATATGTATAACATACTTGCAACATATCTAGTATCTCTCCTAATCCGTTAAATCCACATTTTACCAAAATTAATGGTAATTTTAAACAATGGGGGATAATAAAGCACCTGCAAAAATTTAATTAGATATAACAGTAATTGCACTTGCCCAGCATATGGTTCGACAACCAAGTTGTTAAGATTCCACCAGAACGTCAGTCCTTTAGTCAGCACTGTCTTGTTATTGCCATCTAGGTCACTCATCTCCACAGTCTTGGAGGTATGAGACATCCAGTAGAGCTTGTCGTGTACCCAGTCCACTGCTAACTTGGCACTAGAGTCCACCCCTACACCGTCCACTACAGCCTTAGGCTCTCCCACCCTAGCCAGACTGTCTGTCTTGATCTCGTCCCTAAAGAAGGCACATGGTGGATTAAAAATAAGTAATATAAAAACTCAGAGGTTGTTTAGGAATACCCATTAGCAAACATGTTCATAATAAATGCTTGACACTTATGATAATTTTATGGGTTTACAGAGATACATATAATCCAGTTTACGGCAAAGATTTTTGAACAGATATAGTAATGGTTCATAAACATAAACAAATGTCGCCACTGGCCCGAATGTTTTTTTACAGTTTATTTTTAATACAATATTAATTTCAAAAGATTCTCTCGGTTTAGTAACGTAATTTGATTATGTTAATGGCCCATGGTATTTCTGTTTTAATATGCTTTCGTTATTAGTTTTAAATCGAAGTATGAAAGTTAAAGACCTAATACTTTCATGATGCGGGCTAAAGGTGTCGTAATTCTAAGGGGATAATAAGTTAAATGTGGTAATAACTTTCATAACAAGTGCTGTAAAAGTGGATATCCTTTATGATTAAAGCGTTTTTTGGCTGTTTAAAACAAATTTACGAGTGATACGATAGGTTACGTAGGCTACATTTTTATTCCGTCTCCAGAGTGTGGCCTTGCTTCAGTCCTTAATCGACGCATAAAGTTGACATTTTTTTTACAAAAAAAAAAATTTATATTGGTAGCCGGCCACAATTATAAGGGACCCACTGACCCAGGTAGCACGGCGGACACGACGGAACTCAATGTCGGTTGTACTTTACTTTAGATCCTACACTCATTCGAATGAAAATATCGATTATTCGATTGTTACATTCGATATATCGTTTGGTTAGTTAGGTTAGGTTAACCTTACCTAACTAACCAAATGATATATCGAATGAAACAATCGATTAATCGATATATCGATCGATATTATCATGAGTGTAGAAATGAGTGTAGGACCTAAAGTAAAGTGCAGCCCTCAATGTCTTTTGTGTTAACAATGTGCGAACTTTATGTGTCGACGTGTATTTATATCTTATAACGAAGACTTCTGTCGAATTAATGGACCAAACAATTTAAAGTCATGGGTTTGAAAATCGGTAATTTCTGACCCGAAACTAGTCACCCTCGACTACATTAAGGACTGAGGTCGGAATAAAAAGGTACGTAGCCTATCATATCATTCGTACATCAGTCCTAGTGACAATAATGTTCAAAATAACGAGTTATTTATAAATATTTTTAAGATATCTGACGGTTAAACAAAGTTATTCTCGTAATTGTTATGAATGAATATGAACAAAACATTTTAAACGAAAGACCCCATTATTAGTGATCTAATTGCCTCGCTTGTTTACAAAATGCTATTGACCAAACAATATTTTTTATTTAGATTTAAAAAGTGTAGTTCAGAACACATTTAAAAAAAACTATTTACCTGAATATCTGGCTTGATCCAGCGTAGAAAATATATTTTTTCTCAAAGTGGTAAGCGACACTAGGGGAGTTTTCCTTTGGATTCTGATAGTCATAGCGCAGGGTTGAGATTATTTTCGAATTCGTCAAATCCAACACTGAGACTTGTGTAGATTGTGCCAAGAGAAGCTTCGTGGAAATTGGATCTGTATATGAAAATATTACCCTACTGTAATAAAATATACAAGGTGTACAGTTTATGTGTATACAGCCTAAAAACCAGGTATTTGATCGTACATTAACAAAGTAAGGGACACCTGGACAAAAAAATCAGTTAATTTAAAACATGGTATCTCATAACATTAAAAGATATTTAGTAAAGTGATTTCAAAATATGATGACAAAAAATAATATTAAGTCTCAATCACTTGTATTTTACAATTTTCTAGTTCATCCGTTATTTATTCCCCATTTTATTTCAAATTGAGAAATCGTAGGGCTATGGAAAAATGTGTTAAACAGTTGAATGCGTGAATAAAATTAAAATTTTCGTCATTAAGAAAACAAAATGGTCTTCTTCCCAAAGTTTTGACAAACATATGATTATATGATTGATTGAATGATATATTTTTCCATTGTACATTTCAAGAGTAGAATGGCTATGAATCTAAACAAATCTACACAACTTCAGAAGTTAGTGACATCTTTTGGGTAATTTACCATAATGAACTTACAACAACAAAGTTCATTTTACCTCCCAGAATGCATCCTCTGAAGGGGTTGCCCAGATATCCTTTCTTGCAGATACACAGGGGTCGGTGTTCGATGACGTCACATTCTGTGTTAAAGCCACATAAACCCTCACAAGAGTTCATACATTTGCCCAAAATGCAGGTTCTGTTGGTGCTGCAGTCACCGTGTGAGAAACACTCCGTTTCACTCGCTGAAACATAAACAGTGGAAGTTTATATTCACGTAAGACACTTAGTAACAATTTTTGTAATATGTATTTGTAGTTTAACTATTAAGGAAAAATTGAAAGAAAGTGATGGTGTGGAAAGTAACGTTGCGGATGGCCTAGGTAGGCTTTAAAAAGTGTACTCTATACCAAAGTTATTTGGATACATTGGTTTTAAAAATGGCTCAAAATTACAAGGGCTTTTGTTCATTTTCGTGCAGTTGGTTGATGACCTCAATGATCTTAGGGGGTTGATGACCTCAATGATCTTAGGGGGAATATTGGAAAATTTAGCGAGGCCATACATGTCATGCAATTATAAAGAAAATATATAAACTAGGTAACATAAGAAATGAAGGCAAAAGCTAATGGCAAAAATTACGATGAACGACACACAAAATCATTTACCTTGACAAAAAGGCAGAGGTGGTGTCCAATCGCCATTGATGCAGACAGACACAGGCTTCGTGCTGTTTAGAATGTATCCGGAGTCGCAATAGTAGAAGATAACCCAGTTGTTAGGCATCAGCGTGCCCGGGATCATTTGGCACAGAGAAGTGAGGTCATCTTGCGGACATCGTCGGGGGCTGGGGTAGTACTTACCATTCTCCAGTGGGGGTGGTGCAACGCAGTCTTTCTGTTCAGTTTTGCTTTCGGCGTTAGCGTCTATTCTAAAAATGTAAACAATAACAAGATTGTTAGAACTCCAAAGGAAACGGTAAAATAGCAGATTAGTAGTTACCTAGAGGTATGTATCGTAATACAAATTTGATTCAGTAAATCCTGAAAAGCTAATTAAATTCAGAAGTTTTATCAAACGTTTTAAATCTTAACTTCTCGTCCATCAAATCAAATCAATCAAATCAAAATACTTTTATTCCAAAAATTAAATGGTACAGTAATAGAACAATATATTACATGGAATTATTCCCCCGGATAGACTGTTGATCTGTGATCGGGGGAAGAGTTCTTGTAAACCATTGTTAGCAATATACAAAGTATTTGCATCGTCCATAGACTTCATTGACTTAAAATCTTTGTAAAAAATTCTTTTCGCTTCCCTGTATAAAAAAAATCTATGATACAAATTATCTGTCCCCTGTTAGCGTAAACTAAGAAAATCTGAGAAGCACCCAACGCAAAAAAAATCCTTTTCATAATTTTTTTTTACTTAATAATGAGCTAAGCAACCGGAGGATAGATATGATATAACATACTGTATAAGTGAATTTTATGCATTCGTATAGCTCAACATGACTTTTGTTGATATATTCCATTAACCAAAAAAATATACAAAATTCAAAAAACCAAATCGCTTGATTCTTATTAATATCTTCATTCAATATTTATCCTGTAAAGGCCAAGGGTAAAATAATAAATATGTACCCTCTACCAGAGCTCATTGAGGGAGTAAAAACTGCTAATCAGTTTTGATTTAATGTGACATTTTGCAATGCATGCAAAAAGGATCACCATATCCTCATATATAGTTCACTCCGTAAACTAACTGCAGAAGTTAAGTGTAATTAAATACATATTATCTCATTATTAAAACTGTTCTAATTAACTAATGTAGCAGATTTATTTATAGAAATTCAAAAATAGGTCAGTAGCATAAAAATGTTTCAGGAACAAGAGTATTATGCAACGCCAAGAATTCTGTATTTCTCGTGGTGAAAATAATGATGGCATTAATCATGGGATTATAACCTAGTAAAAATAAAGTTATATAAAGCTATGGTTTAAGTCCTTAGATTTAGAGAATAAAAGAAAATGTATGCAATGATTACCTCAGTATTCTACTACTACCACCAAGTGATCCTGGTGATGAATTTTGAAGCACTTTTCCTCGTTCCGCTTTTCCAACTGCCAGAACTTAAACAAAACATGGCCTTCTAATGAGAATTCAATAAGCAATATTTGATACAGGTAAAAATAGCCTGTACTGTTTAAGTGTCAATGAAAACACAGTAAAACCCCCACTTGATTTTTTAAATGTAGGTAGAAAGCGACAATGTGGTTTTATCTTTAAAAAAATATGCATGTTTAAAAATCCTATATTAAGATGCAATAATAGATCTTAAATTCAAATAGTATAAGAGCCCTCCTGTACTTGAAAGTTTGTCAGTATTTTATCATCCTTCAGTGAATAACCATTTTCCTGCATGACTTGTAATGTGGAACAGTGATTAGTTAATTTATAATCCGTCGACACTTTATTTCTATTGAATGTAATATAATATAATTTAAATGCTAACTATAATAACTCACCGATGGCCACGGCAGCCCAGGTAACACAAATAAATAGACCACAGGCTGACTTGGAGGCCATCACGAAACTGATTTAACTGTTTGTCACACGGAGAAAGGGAAAGTTAGAATTGCCTAAGGCAAACATTTAACTATGTGAGTGTTAAATCGGTAGCAAAGCCATTGAGGAAATCTAAACCAACGGACTCCATACCTCTCCTTAGGCCACAGTTAGGTTAATTTTCAATGTGTGTAAAGTTTGCTTTTGTCAGGACCTTGTAAGTTTGCAGTTGAGGGAGGAGCCTATTTACCATATGGTTTTGTATGAACCAATGAGAACCGTGCGGTGTTGCCAAATCTGTTAATACCAGCTGATTTTAATATATTGCTTAGTGTATTTTAGTTTTGTCAACGGACGATGTGGAAAGGCCGCACTAGCATTGTCTTATGATTGGCTGCCACCAACTGCAAACTTACGTGGTCCCGACAATAGTGTGTATAGTGCTAGTTTGCATAAGTATTAAAACTATTGCCTCTCAAAGAAGATACATTTTTTGTTGGACTCTAACATTTTTCACAGATTTCACTCATGAACATTATATAAGCTAGCATGTGACTTTTAATTTTATTGAAGTCATATGTTTATGTTTTTATATTTGATTATTGTGTTTTTCCTTGATTCAATTAAACACTAGTTTTCTATTCTGTCTAAATTATTTTGATATTCATGAGTTTTAGAGTCAATTCCACATTTAATATGCTGCTCTCCCCTTTATATTTTTCCTTATAAATTATATTTTATCTGTCTTTATCGTTACAAAGATTATAAAATAAAACTTTAAAATTATAAACACTGAAAAAATCATCAGTGCAAAGAGTCATAAGTACAAAGAAGTATATATTTTTGCTCTAATATATTTATCAATTTTCCTATGATAGCAGTTTTACGGATCTATAATGTAATATTAACTTCTTTATATAAGAAGTTTTTAGCGAGCTTGGAGGAATATATATTCTAAAAGACCTATCTCCGAATATTAAAAGCTAACCAACCCTTGGATTGATCTTGGAATATAAATTTACCTATGGTGACCTAAGTACGCAGATTTTATGTGCAAAATTTCAGGTGAAATTGGTAAGGAATATTTTACGCTATAAAGACACTAACACCTTATTTTATGATTGTGGTATGATAAAATGTTAGTACAACTCAGTAGCATCTTTACACTGAAAGGGTTTATTATCAACGTCTACCTTTTACGAGCTATGTGTTTCGGTGAAAGATTCAGGGGATGTATTAAATTCAGATCCATATGTCGTTCTTGTCTGGCCCACAGAGTTGTGGCAAAGATAAGACTGAGTTATTACACATAAGTCATAGCTTATAACTTTAACTGGGGTAGCACAGTTATAGCCTGTGCTTAATCTGTAGATTACAAAATCAGCTCAGCCAAAAGTTTTAAATTTAGCGGTTAGACTATCCTGTCTGTAGATTTAATCCTTTTTATAATGTAAGATAATTGATTTCAGCCGTTACACGTGTGCCTATTGTTGAGATTACAGATTTATTAAGTAACAAAATAACGAATGTCTATTATTATGCACTAATTAGACAGTGATTACAGTTACGAAGAAAAGCAAAATAAAATTTGGCTTTCCTACAAGATTTACACCCTTAAATCGATTTCAACCATAGACTAAAAATAAAAACAGTACATTTACTTTGTAAAATATTTAATTTTTTTGAAACGAATACAAAATATTTTGAAAAGTTTGTTCTCGAAAAGATATTATATTTCTATACATTGTACAATGCGGTCGCTTACACAGCATAGAAGAAACTATGTGAATTGGGACGTGCCCAAGGACAATGTAAATGATTCATTTTACCGCATTCCAAAAATAGTGAGTTCCAAAGCTATAATATTGCGGTATATTGCAAAAATGTTAACTTAAATAATACAGCTTTAAACAATTTGTTAAATTAAACTATATATAATCTTAAAAACTTTGTCTGAAGATAAAAAAAACTCAAGTCTCATTCTAAAAAATTTTATTCAATTTATACTCACTCTTTCATGTTTGTCTATAATTTTATGATAAGAGAGTTTAATATTCTGGTGAGGGTTATTAGCCTTAACCATATTCAGTCTTTTACACAAAGAAAATAAAACATGGAAAATTGAATAGGCCTACATTTATAGAAATGAAAAAAATCTAGTTACAGTTTCTGTTTTTATACTAATCCCACTGACATTTTTATCAAGGGAACGGTATGAAACCTGGAATATCCTAATCATAACCTTAGGAATATGATTCCTAGGAATCACAATTATTGTTAATGAGTCCAATAAAATGTACCCACCCTAGAGGTGAAACTAGCGATCTTCATGTTTTAAGACGAATATTAGCTTTGTTATGCGCTGTGCAGTCATTCTTCAAATAAAAAAATGTTGTAATTAATTAAAAAAACGAAATGTTGTATCTCATATTTTTACAATTAATCAATTAAAAAAAGAAAGTGTTTTAACTTAACATATTCAACGTAAATACCGTAAAACTCGTGATTATTAATGTACAAAATTTCACTACTCTGGTTCTTTCCATTCAGAATTATATCATTCTAAGAAAGCCGAAGATCTTAGCTTGAAGGAAAACAAAGAAGGACGTTGGCCTGACCATAAACTAAACGACTGGCATCGGACGACCCACTGGGAAAATAAATAGATCCACGCCTCCACATACGTACGGTCATGACCCCAACTCACGTCGCTTTATAAACTAGTGCTTCGTATGCAAATTTCAATATATGCTTTTATTTTATCTTTTTGATTTACACATTAAACGATAACTAGAAAATAAATATTTTTTCATAGATTCTAAGAAATTTCTTTTGCATAATTGTTTCCTAAATTTGACTATAAATTACACTATTAATCCTGTGTGTATTATATCTGTTAAAGAGTATATGCATCTTTCATAATTTACCTTTCACATAAAGATGGAGAGGTGTATAGATTGCTTACCTTCTTAAACATATCTAAAATAGTCTAATATTAGATTTCAATAACTCTTACAGACAATTTACAACGTTGTCATACCTAGATAACCTGACCACTTCATCTGAAATTTCAACATGGCATATTTTAAACCACGTAAGAGATCGACTGAGTTGGACGAGCAAATATGCAGCATAACTTGTAACGTATTCGTAGTAGATTTGAATGCGTAATTGATGCCTAACAAATGTAGTCTGGTAAATGCACACCAGGCACTGTTGTAGTTAGTTAAATTATTGTATAAGCATAATATGTTGTTTAGAGTGCACTTTTTATCCATTTAAGTAAATGAACAATTGAAAGAACAATCATTCAACCATGTACTTTTATTCGCTGGCTACAAATGAACTATTATGTTCACATCTTTTCTAAGTATAACATGAGATGAAAGAGCTACCTATTTGCAAAGTTCTTTCATTTTTAAAAGTAGCCTACAATACAATGATTCTGAGTTTGATATAAACCGTTATATATTTTACTAGCTGAGTACCCGTCTCTCGTACGGGGTTAGCATACAAGTATACTTATTGCAGTTATACTCAAGCTTTGTGTTTGCAATGGGGGAGCTATCATCATGCCAAATTTCAGCCCAATCCCATCTAGTAGTTAATGCGTGATTGAACTTCAAACAAACAAACAAACAAACAAACACACAAACTTTCACATTTATAATATTAGTAAGATAAGATTTATTTAACATAAAACCATACCAATATTGACTAAATGCAAGTTATCGTAACTAAATTCAAATATATACACAAATGCATATAAATTTCTTAATATATAAGCCTGAGATTTTTGTGTACGAATTATTTCAAAGGATTTAAAAGGTGTCCACAAGTTGTCATAAATAAACAAACAGTACAAAATAATACTGTATTTATTCCTCCATAAATCTTACAAAAAAAATTAATATAGACTAAAATGCTGAATCTTCATTGGTAATGAGTTTTCTTTACATGTGCTCCGTTTGGACGTCAGGGTGATATACGTTCAATCCAATAAATCCCTAAAAACATTATTTTGGTAAAATCGTTTTTTTATGCTCACTCAATTGACTAACATTAAGTATGTAAAACATAAAAAATATTAATCTGGTTGAATAAAAAAGCCGGATTAAAAATAACATTTCAGAAAAAACTTCCATTTTGGGTCAAAAGATTTTTTTAAATAAGATAGCCAAAAACTATTTTTTACCTCATACATAACCACAGGGCATTCTAGCCAATTATTGTCTCATCTGTAGGTCATGTATTTTAATCTAATAAAAGTCTTTTACTACTAAATAGTGAAGTGTTATTTTCTCAGTTTTGTTAACGCTTCAAACATTGTTGGTGAAGAAAAATCGTATACATTTTTTCAATTGATAAAACAATATTCCTAGAAAGTTTGCAACTATGTAATCTAGATATGATCTTCATCCAAAATCTGAATCACTCTTACAGTTTGATATATAAAATATAATTTACCTTATCCACAGACTGTACAAGCACTGGTGTAGGAACAGGGTTTGACAGATCCACACTCCACACTTCGTCATACTGACCTCTTTTGAAATGGCCGAAAAACACAGTATCCTTAAATACTGATATTGCGTGGATTTCACTAAATCTAAAATAACAACAAATAATGTGCAATTAGTATTAGTAACGTATAAATTAGATAATTTATTGCTTTTAAATAACTGAATAAATCATGAAGCACTGTTAATTGAGAGCTTGGTTATGTTTTGAGTTAATTTTACAATGCTAAAGAGCGATGAGTTAGCCTTCCTTTGAACTTTATTGGAGAATGTGTTGGTTTAATTAGTATTTACATAAGTTTATTATCAAGCAGACGGTAAACTTGCATGCATTTTCTTTAGAAAAAACATATGTACGCATATCACACGGAACCTACAATAGAATACATATAAAAAATTATATAATGCAATAGGGATTTTCTCTTTAAAAATGTGGCTAGAAAATAATCCAGTGGAAAAGATTATAAGGAGAATGTCTCTATTAAAATATTCACGTTAGTTCTATGAATCGTTCACTATATTCTTTAAACTCAGCAAACAATAGGATTTCAAGATGTCCATACATACAAATAATTGACTATTATTACAAGGTTCTTTATAAATGAGGATATTCAAAATCATTTTTAAAAACGATATTTAAAACCTTTCTTAGTCCTAGAGGTCAACTTGTTTTCGTCACAAAAGATCTTACTCAGAAGCTACTAAACCATGAATCGGACCACAATTAAAATGTTTTCACAACCATCTCCAATGGGGACATCCTTCCCATCTTTGCCTTCATAGTCACATGACTCAACGTAAGGCGTCACCTCCTCCAAGTCCCAGCTGGTGTAGAAGATTCTTCTCTTGTGCGTGGCCAAGGTCAGGACATAGACCCCTCTTTTGCCGTCGTTGGTAAGATGAACTTGAGAGTTATTGGAACCATCCAAGTTCATCCTGAATATTGAATCGTTGCTAACATAGAACAGGAACCTAGAAAATCAGAAGAACGTTTTAAAAGATCCAGTAAATGTGTAACATGATTGTGTCCTATGAATATGCTAGGTCATTATCAATACTCATTTGTTAGATTATTCGTAAGCTTTATACAACCAATTGTGTAAAGATGAATGTGTAAAATGATTTACTGACCTAATTTTACAAACCCTATAAACACTATAATATCCTTTTGAACTACACCAATTATCTGTAAATACAGGGTGTCCCGGAACTCTCTACCAATAATTTAGAGCATTGTTCCTGGGTAAGAAACACCTACCCATATGTAATATTTAAATTGTCCTTAGGTCCTTAGTTACTCACACAGCCACCATTTCGTTTTATTCACTTAGGTTTTTTTTCTAAAAAGTGGTTAAACATATGAAATTGAAACTTTGCACACAGATTTATGACAATTGTACAAAGCTACAAAAGAATTATGAAAATTTTCCAAATTCAAATGCAAAATTGCACCCATTTACTGGTTTTGTTTCTTAAATAGCACAAAACTCATTGATTTTACAAAAGTTTTACAAGAGTAACTTGTTCAAGGAAATTTTTGCGTATGTTTATCTATTTTTCAGAAAAGAATTATTAAGTGAAAAAAAAACATAATGGCGGCTGTGTGAGTAACTAAGGACTTCCAGACAATTTAAATATCATATTTAAATGTTTATCCCCGAGGAACAATGCCCTAAAATATTGGTGAAGAATTCCGTGACAAGACAATTTCCTAAACGCCAAGATATAAAGTTTTGATTTTAAAGGAGGAAAATTTCGGTTTTGTCAACGCCTCCATTATTACAAATCTTAACTTGTTAGATAAAATATAAATTAAAAACCATACACTTATTTGATATATTATGACATATTTTCTAAGGGATTTTAAAAACTATGGCACAAGACGCCTACACGAAGCAAATAAACTAAACTCTATGTATTGGAAATAAATCACAAGCTAAAATACTTTAGAACCACAATGACCATAAAGAGTTTGGTAAAAAGTGTGAATAAACCTAACATAATTTATGTATCAACTAAACAAAAATGTGGTCACACGATAAAGCTTGAGTACTTTTCATCTTCCTTTCATATATAGGTGATGTTTGTTACACACTGAAAATTAGAAGGCAAACGATGGTTTTTGTTTTGACAGAAGACTACAGAAGAAGACTGACAGTGAAAGCTTACCCAGCGTAAGGATCAACAGCAATGTTGTCTAGGTTCCAGTTGAAGGTCAGCCCGGAGGATACCAAGGTCGTCCTGTTGCCGCCGTCCAGGTCACTGACCTCTATGACTTCAGCAGTGTGGGACATCCAGTACAGCTTGCCATGTACCCAGTCCACTGCTAGCTTCACATTAGCATCAACCCCTGATGAGACCACAGCTACTGTTGGACCCGTCCTGGTTAGACGGCCAGCCACCTCGTCTCTAAAACATGAATTAGAAATAATATGAAACTGTCAAAGTCCAATAATATTACTTTATTGGCAAGTGTTCACAAGGTGTATGAAATTGCATAGTACAGTACAGTATTTTAAACAGTTTGTGCAGTAATTTCTTAAATTTTTGGAAGATTTTTTGACTGCACTGACGTGATGCAGTCAACTTTCCATGTACATGTGAATACACTGAAAGTACGCACAAAAATGCAAAAGAAATTAACTATTATCATATTTGTTTCTATATTTCATTTGGTTAATACATTTTATTGTGTTAGTTTTTTAAGAGGTTGGTGCTTTCTTCTGACTTTGGATACAATTATTTTATCCATATCCAAAGGCTATGGAAACGAATTGCTTTGAATATTTACTTAGTAGCTTCTAGCTACTAACATGTAAAAAGGTGGAAGTAATTTTTTCAGTTCTATGTACGGAAATATCAGGTCTGTAGGTATAGAAACACACAATCCATGTTATTATCTGAAATATTGATTTCATACGAGTTCTGGATCTAAATTGTCTTTCATTTACCTGTATATCTGATTAGTGCCAGTGTAGTAGATGTATTTTTTGCGATAATGGTAAGCAACGCTTGGAGAGTTTCCTTTAGAGTTTCCCTGTGTATAGTGTAGTACTGATACTATCTTTTGTCTTTCCAGATCAAGCAGTGAAACTTGGGAAGACTGTGTTAACAGAAGGGTCACTGGAACGGGGTCTGCAAAGTTAAAAATAACAATCATTACGAAAATGATAGAATGAAATCATAGACAAACCAGCACAAGTAGGGTTTTTCGTGTCTACTTCATCTTCGGGCGTTAGTGTAGGCGACATTTTATCTTAGGGTTAATTTTATTATTTGTGTGAACAGTAACAGGATATGAGTTATTGGTGATGATTAGATAGTTTATTTGGCTAAAGGAGATTTTAAATTACTGAAATAACAAGAAACTAATTGTAAACAAAAATACGACCTCTACAGTGCACTGGACAGAAACAACAATAAACTTGGCTTCAGCTGTTCCATAACGATGAGAAATCTACTAAGGAAGAAGGCTTTCGTTTGATCTATGATGAAACTCTGGTTTGTATAAAGTTTAAAGAAGGAACTGAAAAAATACTGGAACTCTTATAGCATGTATGTGCAGTCCTACGATTTGTTCTACCTGTGAAAATAAAATGCACCTTTTGTTAACTAACTTTCTTAACTTTTACAATGTGTTTAATTATTCTATTGAAGTAACAAAGTGCAAGATCCTCCAGCAGACTTACAGTTGTTGATTTACGACCTATAAAACATGTACTATCTTTAAATCAATTATTTTACCCTACAACATCCTTAGATCCAGCATACGACTTCTTAGATCAGCCTTCAACTTGGTATTTTATAATAAAAACCTACTTTGGAGTATTCTTTATGAGCCCATCCTCTTATCTGACGGCTGCCAATCTCTCTGCAATGACACATGATACAATTTCGTACAGGCACAAAAAACTACAATGATAAACCGTAAAAACCTGTACAATGGTCGAGGTGCACATCAGAATACGTGCCCATGAAGTAAATAAACCCTTTCGTCTTGTAACTTTTATCTAAATATATATATGAGCATTTACTTGGACAACAAGTAACTCAATGTGTTTTGTCGACAATGTGCATCGTCATAGGAATACTATGACAAGGCCCTCCACCTTAAAACAGAGACAAGACCTGGATACCTCCAAGTATACATCCTTTGAACGGGTTCCCCACGTAGTTCTTCTTGCAGTTACACAGCGGTCTGTGTGACGTTACCTCACACTCGGTGTTGGGTCCACAAAGACCATCACAGGAGTCTGAACACTTGCCAACGATGCAGGTCTTGTCACCGGGACAATTGTCATGGCTGGAACACTCGGCCGCGCCCACTGGAACATTGAGATTTTAAATCAATATGTATTGCTGCATCTACAATTCGTTTTGTATTTATATGTAATTTAAAACGTAAGGTGGTACTTTAACGGCTGTGGCAGTAATAAGGTAATTAAAAGTATAGACTTCTCGAGAGAGGCTTTTGAGCTTGGAAGGCACAGATTAAACTCAGATTATTTTTGAGCAGTAGAGTATGTTTTTAGTTTAAAAGAACATTTATACACAATATAAGACTATATAATGGGGTTTTTTGTATTTTTCGAGAATATAAAATACCTTTCTGAACCTAGGTAATACGTTTAAAAAATATTCAAGCCACTCTTTCATTGTTTTATAAAAATGCGATAGGTGGTACGTATTATGGTTTGTCCTTCTACACCATAAGCAGTTTTTGATCATATTGATAAGCTTAGTACGAATAAAAAAGGTATATTACATATCAAATAAATGTATGTTAAAAGATAATGAAAACAATTGTATTACTTTCAAAGGTATTTTTAGTTAGGGGTTCACGCAGTTTTGAGTTCCTTGATACAAATTAGTTATTTTTATCCTCCCGAACCCACAAAACATAAACAAATGCCACCACCTAATTTAAAATCTTTTAAAGTTATCGTGAAAAAAGTAATCATGCAACGCGTAGTTTGTAATCACTCGTCTTAAAAAAGTTTCATATGAACCTGAGGTCAAGAGGAGCGGCCCCGCATGAACATCTTCAGATTCAAGGCCCTCTAACGTTATGGCTGTGTGATCTGGAAAATATTTTCCTCCATTTTAACAATGTTATGACGGTTATGCGTTAGACAAGTGTAAGACTCAATAACCTTAAGAGACTATAGTTTCAAAATGAACTGTAGAAGAAACGGTGTTATGGATTTTAAGAACAATAATAGAAATGATAAAATAAGAAACAATATCAAAAATTTTGAAATAGGAATAAAATAGCAATGAAAATGGCTTTGGATGAACGTTGTATATGATGATGTTGTTCAAAACTTCTGGTTTGGAACAAACATACTAGATGCAGGTTATTTGGATCAGCGTAAAAAATAAACAAATAGAATCGTATTGTTTGAAGAACATTTACAAAGAATTCTTCATTAATTTATGAAAATGTTTTCAAACAACTCAAACATCATGAGTTCCAAAAACCATCAACTTTCTGTTGAATATGCAGGTCTGCTATATGTTAGTTAACTGATCTCCTGTATATTACCTGACTAAGGAACTCAAGCCCTAAATATTATTGAATGTGGAATAGTAAAATACCAACACTCAAAGTTATTTCTAAACTGCCACAGGGACATTCGTAGAAGTAGTTCAAGGCTACCAGCCTTAAATCTGAACTCAGTACAGCTTTACTGACCCTCACACACAGGCAGCGGTGGGGTCCAACGGCCCTTCACACACACAGACACAGGCTTTGTAGTGTTTAGGGTGAAGCCGGAGTCACAATAGAAGAAGATGACCCAGTTTTCCGGTACAGGAGTACCGGGGATCATCTGACAGGCTGGGGTGAGGTCTTCAGGGGAACATCTCCTGGCGCTAGGGTAGAACTTCCCGTTCTCCAGAGGTGGGGGTAGAACACACCCGTCGTCTCTGGAGCTGGAGCTGGAAAAATATTATTCCAGTTGTGTTTCCTTTTTGCTTTTAAATGTTCCCTTAGTAGTACAAAATTATTGATCTTAGCAACGTGAGTAAGCTTTGGGTAGCAGTAGATAACATAATTAGCAAATTATGAAACTACTATGGAATTACTATTGAATAAATTCGTGATTGGAGATTGGACGTAAGTATGTGAATTTGAACGTAAGGTGCAGACCAGATGTGGACTATCTCATCAAATCCATGTATCGAGGAATGTTACATTTAGCAAATCTCGAACAATATTTTCATTATTCATGCCGCCACTTTCAAAGAGTTTATTATGACATATTTTTATTTTTCTTGCATTAAGAGAGGCATTTATTCATTATGTACTCTCCACCACATATGGACCTGTACAATAGACTGCTACGCTTCATATCGCGAGGCAATGATTGTCCTTCCTCAATACTTAAACACCAGCTATAATAGCTGACTTAAAAGCTTCAATCAGTTTACAATATGAACTATCAACAATGGCATCAAATTAGCTTCTATCAGCTGACAATACGAGCTACGAAAACCATATGGAGCATAGTGATGAACATTTAAAATTAGGTACAGACTTTTCAGCCACCATATACACAATACACATATACACATATACGCAATACTAGCACTTGCGTTTGGTCAACCATGAATTAGTTTTACTAATTAATTGCTACGTACAAATTTATTTCTTATTTTTGTCATATAACTGTGGGCTACCTAATCAATATTCTCAATACTGGCACTTACGTTCTTTTTCTTCTTAAGAATAAATTCTCTTCTGTATCAAGAACCCGTTTGGCCCAGCATAAATCTGTTAACACTGAAATAAAAAAATATTGAGTACAACATTTGGAAAAATGAATAAATAAAAACAGTATTTTATTTTCATTCAGGGTAATATCATGGTTTTTGGGGTTAGTTATTATAATTTACGCAATAACAAAATAATTAGTAATTAATTGACTTTGTCTATTTTAATTGTATATTTGAACTTAAAGATTAAGAATAGCTTTTATATTACTTTAACGTCCAAAGAGTCAAAATATGATATTAAAAAGAAAGAATAAGATTTTTACGCGTCTCATAGCTATTGAGAAATGTTTATTTTGCCCCAGTTATAAAATTGTTAGAATGATGTAGACTAAGAAGTATTGATGTAAAAAAATAACGATTAAAGAATTAGGATAGTTTTAAACTAAGTTCTAAAAAAGACCAGAGTCGACTATATAAGTTGAAATTGAAAGGAAATCAATGAGTGAAGGATGAACTCTTCTTTTTAGAGCACACGGTGATTGATCAGTGTTATCTACCAACATATTTTGCTGTAGCTCTTTGTAGCACATAAGTTAATTTACGTTCTTTGGAAGGAAATAAGTGAACATTATATAGGACATTAAATATTATATAGGATGGTTCTCTCCTACCTTTTAACATAACCATTATAAAACGTCTGAAAACATTTCAAGCACACTCCATGAATTATTGTGGAAAAAAATATATCTATATGGTAAAATTTGTCATTACATAAGCATTTAAATAAAAAAATAATTATTTATTGAATAATAATTTTTCACTACAAGTAATATTAGTTTTTATTTCTTTAAGATAATGCAATACAAAACAATAATGCTATACAAACTAGCAACACACTTTTTAATGGAACATCGAGTTCCTACTGCTTAGAAGTTCATGGAGGTCGAGTGCATTGTTCAACTACTAATAATCAACTGGTTGTTTGTAGCTCTCCTTAAGCTGAAGGTTTACTGTACTTAGTCAGAAAGATATGTACCTTAATTGATGAAGAATATTTCTCTACGAAAATTATCCCAATTTACCTTAAATGTGACTTTTAACTATAATATCATTTTGTTTTGTTTTGTAATGGTGAAATTTACATTTAGTTGATACAAGTTTTCTCTTTTTTGAACTTAACACTATCTGAATTATGACAAATAAAAAATTATGAAGTTAGAACACACGAAATAGAAATACATACCAAATGTTGCTACCCAGATAATCACAACACAATCACTATATCTCGATCCCATCGCAAATCTACGATGACTGTTTTCTTACTGAGGAGAACGCTTTATTATTTGTGGGAGGGGAGAGAACTGGTTGGCCTCCCGCACTGAGTCTTCCTTGTATTTACGTGAATGACTGTGGTTTGAACTTGACCTTGATTTTGGACAAGAATATTTACCCGAGCTAGCTTTCCTCTTCTGATGTGTATTTGGTAGCTGAATATCCAGCATTCGATATTTATTGGTCTTATGTGATCGTTGGATATTCACAATATGCTGATCAATCTCATTGCATTAGTTGGAATAACACCTGGACGCACGCATATTAATTATTTTTCAAATTGTTGCATCATATTTTATTTTGAAAACTATTGTTATTTTTAAATCTTGCCGACATAAAATATGGCGGATCTAAACTATGAATGTACTGTACGTCTATAAACTGAAAAAATCCAGCCACTTAAAAAAAAAAAAAAAAAAAAAAAAAAAACTGTTGATAAGGACTAATATTCTTAAGATTGTACACTTGCCTTTTCGTCATACTGCTCAGAAACAGCCTATTTTTATACATGCCTTGCGGTAGCACGATTACTCTGTAGGGAGTAAAATGCCTTTCTACCCCGTCGGAGTAAAAATATGCTGTTGTAAACAGTTGTTGATGTCAAATGTAGCAATCGAATGGATCGACATGACTTATCGATTTATTCATTGGGGAAGATTTTAGCTCTTGTTGCATTCTTAAAAATAGTTCGACATGTCAATGGTATAATGTAAAATATCGTCATGAAGAAATGTTTAAATCATATAATGAACAGAATTAAAAATAAGAAGCTGGTAGTCGTTTTCATAGGTTATCTTTAAATTTAAAAAATAGTTTCGTTTTATAGCTTAGTTTGTTAACTGATGATGCAATATGACAAAAATGCACACACAGGCAAAAACTGTCTTTTCAACACTCACTCATTTTCCAACCTCGGCTTCGCCTCTATCGTAGAACTTGATCTCAGATCTCTCTAAATACATTTATACAGGGTGACAAAAAAGTCTGGAAACGGCTTGATATACTTTTAACTAAATTCGTTAGAAAACTCAAACCTATCACATCAATTTATTTGTATGAAAACTACTTTTTGCAAGCATTACCATGTTTTTACATTCACCAGGGGACGGCCCGTTAGGAGTAGGTACATAATCTTTAATGTAAGCACATCTTTAATAGATTAATTTTAAAGGTCTGGTAAAGTGGAGTTCATTGCCGGAAACCGCATCAAAAAGGTTCATCCGTTACAAAATGGCGGCAGTCCAAAGTTATTGCGGAATGTACCTGTGCGGAAATCTGAAAACCGGTTAAATTTTGTTTAAGATTAAATAAACTTAGTCTATGAGCGAGTTGACTTTAAAATACAATTTTAGCTCTCAAGCTTATGTTTACGAGTATTTACCAACACTAAGGCCTGTGCAGGTATTTTCCGCAAGAACTTTGGACTGCCGCCATTTTGTAACGGATGAACCTTTTTTGATGCGAATTCCGGCAATGAAATCAACTTTACCAGACCTTTAAAATGATGTGCATATCAATCTGTGCTTTCGTTAAAGATTATGTACCTACTCCTAATGGGCCGTCCCCTGGTGAAGGTAAAAAAATTGTAATGCTTGCAAAAAGTAGTTTTCATACATATAAGTTTATGTGAAAGGGTTGAATTTTCAAACGAATTTAGTTAAAAAGATATCAAGCCGTTTCCAGACTTTTTTGTCACTCTGTAATATATACGCTTCACACTTTAAACAGCAAATGTAAACAATACTGAAAAAAACTATAATAAGCAATAGATTCTAGTTTGTATGCCTGTATGATAGATATACTTGTATATCTGTATGATTTGTTGTGCTGCATTAAACATTAAAGAAGCAACA